AGAGCACAGAGGAGAGGAATCATCAAAACCCTGCGGTTTCATAGAATTTTCTGGAAAGTTGGTAGGCCATAATTGGGAACAAAAGTCTAGGAGCAGCACTGGTGAGGTGTGGCTCCAACTTCAAAGATCAAGTCAGGCTACTCCTTCAGTGTAGGAGTTTATTTTTGATTGATGGTAGAATAGGATCTACAGTTTGGCTGCCAACTAGGGCATATTTTTATCTAAAATAACTCCAGCAAAAAGCATAATTGATTAATCAACTTCACCAAAATTAAAAATAAATGTATTCCCTCTCTGTCTCCCATTATCTGCATGTCCAGCTCACAAATGATCCAACTCTAGTCTAAAAGCCTTTATTAGCAAATATTCATTCGCTTTTGAGGGCATTATACTTTGACTTTCAAATATAATGCTTTCTCCAATATATCTGTTACACTTTACCTGTGACCACTCCATTAGGGCTTTGATCAGCCTCAATGTCCCCATTATCTTTCAACAAAAGTTTCTACACTAGTTAGGGGCATTTCTTACTGCTACAGCGCCACCTACTGGCAGGCCATTACAAGAGCAAGCTAGCTGGGAGTTTTTGACCCCCTGTTTTGGAGTCCTTATCATCTTTGGCTTTATAAAATCCCAATTTCCATGTAATTTTGAGAAACTATCACTCTCTTGATAGCTGCTAATAGGTCTCTTGCTGTGGCATAAAGTCAGCAAGTGATAATCAGAAAATACGCTCTTACTCTTACTGTTACCTTACATTGGCCCTGACTTCACCCACTTTGATTTGCTCTGTCCTATAGCTGTAGCAAGGGCTCCAGATTGTGCGGGCAAGGGTTTGGATCTGGCGAAAATAACTTGGGGAGCTTCCAAAGATCCTGAAAAATGTAAAGAAAAATCCCTACTTAACACTTGATTTGATCTTGGCTGAAAGGTCAAGAGGTCAAATTTGAAACTAGGTTTTAGGGGATTATCGTTCCCCAGATGCTGCCACCCCATTTCCTGCCAAACACCAAATCCATGCTCTGTTTTCTGCCTTCTAACAGTGTAAGAGAGGGGCGTCAACCCAAATTCTTATCCCTCTGGCACATTTTGGGAGCAATAAGGGGGATTAAGATAGCAGGATAAGAACCTCAAGGGTTTTATTTATTTTTAATTTTAACCTATTATACTTCAAATCTATCCAGGATCTTCAAGAATCATAGAATTCATGGTGAAAAGAATATGATCATAAAAATAGGTCATTTCATTAAGAGCTACCAGGCAAATAATTTCACTTGAAAGTTACAGAGACTCCAAAAAACTGGGGGTTTAAGTGCCTTTGGGTTTATTTTACGTTAAAACAAGCCACTTTCTTTTGCTATATTACTAAGAGAGAAACAAGGAGGGGGGCGGGCAGAGTCATATAATACTGCCACAAAGGCTAATGTGAATTTTACCTGGACCGGAAACAATGCACATTGAACAAGGACATTTTCTCACTTTTTGTAAGTGAAATCCAGCACTGGTTTTCAAAGGATGGTAAGGTCCTTCTACCAAGTATAGAAGCGTACAAGCAACAACAACCACAGAGGTGAGGTGGGGAGAGCTTGGGCTCCAAGCTAGGAGAGGATGAGGCAGAAGTGTAGGGGCAGGAAGAGGGCAGGTGGTGTGGCTTCAGACGCCTGCAATGATGGCAGCTGACACTATCGAGCCAGTATGAGGGAAATGTGAGTTATCTAATGTGGCACTCTATGCTATTTTAGTTCATCATCACCACTTCAGGACTCAAGAAGACGCCATGGTTGTAAAGAAGGAAGGCCAATGGCTTTGGCTCTGAGCCAAAGGCCTTCACTCCAGCTTCCTTCTCAAATTTCCAAATGTGCTGACTCCACACCTTCCCTTCCAGAGCCAGCTCACAATACACAGCCTGAGGTGGAGAAGTCACTGCAGTTCTCTGCTGGGAGCTTTCACACAACTGTTCACAGAACAAAAACGCTCCTAGGCTGCCCTCATGGGGAAAGGACCCCAAGTTGTTTTCAGCAGTGCCCTGGTATGAACCACTATCTCATTCAGACTATCTGAGGAACAAAGTCACACAGCTATAAGCCTGCCTGGCCAGACCTGAGGAAGGGTCAAAGGGCCAGGAAACAGGCTTCTACTACATTCATAGACTCACTGATACCATGTTTAACCAACTGAGGTAACTGGACCAGATGCGGGCCAAGACCTTTGTCAGTTTAGCAATTCTTCCACAAGCACAAACTTCCCAGCTCTTAAGGGTATGTGGAACTCGACTTATCATGGGGGTTGTTCTCCCTTTTTGGGGTTTAAAGAAAAGTGTGTCTTTGAAAGTGTTTCTGACAGCTCTATCATGCCTTTTCATGCAATGTTCTTCTTGTTACTGGGCCCCCTTAAGGCCCCCTTGAATAATCACTCCTTTCAATTTATGAGTCAAACATTGAAGTGCCAGATACTTATATACTAGGCGTATAAATAACTTTTAACTGTTTTTTTTTTTCTTAAAAAAGAAAAAAAAAACCCAACAGGGTTAGTTACTATTAAAATGCTGAGGTAAAATGTTTATTGGGAAGTCTGGGAAATGCCTGAATCTCACTATATCATGTTCCTCTCTTGTCACGTATTTCTGTAACTAAGGATCATGAAGGCAAGAAAGTCACAGAATAGGGCCCTCCCTGGTGGCACTATGGTTGAAGCGCAGTAATGTGAAGCTAGCTGTAGCTGCTTCAGTGCGAATTTGATCCCCGGTCCCGGAGGTGACCCACAAGGTGCAGCAGACTTCTCCTGTTCCACATGCTGCTCCCCTCAGCAGTGTACTTCCTCAATCTGCCTATTCTGCTCCCCACTCTGTCTCTGGTGAACCCTCTCACCACCCCTGCACCTCTGGCCTGTACCCTAGTTCTGAATGCATAAATAAAAAATCTTAAAAAAAAAAATCACAGAATAGAAACAAATTCAAGGGACCTTAGGGGCCAAAGTCATTCAGTGACAAAAGCAGTAAACTACCTAAGCAAGGTGAGAAGAGTTAAGTGCTCATTTTAAGATAGAATCAGGGAAAATGGCTAATATAGGTGAGGTGCAAGTTCTGCTTTTCACTCTGGTTTCATGCTGACAACAAAATTCATTAGAACTGCTACAAAGTCTAAGTACCTTCAAGAATCAGTAAATATTCATCCACAATCAAGATGCCCTAAGTAGGATCCACTGGTTCCTCAAATTTCCAATTTCCTCAGCCAGAGTGCATGCAAGAGTTCAGTCCAGTGCTTAGTGTTTCTATTAGACCTGCAAGGAAGCGAAGCAGGAGGGTTTCCTGGCTCTCCTCCGTTGCCATCAGATTTGAAGAGCTGATGGGGACCTAACAGCTGCATTTCATGGATATCCTCCCACTGGGCCATGATTCTACTTCTCAGTCTGTGATAGTACTAGGTGAAAGCTTGACCTCCTCAAAAAGAACAATGTTCGAGCAATTCTTTTTGTTGTTGTTTGGGGAAAGAGGTTCAAGTACCCATTAAATATGTCTTGGATTCAGGTTCTAAGATTTTAGGTGGAGAACAAAGTTTCTATAGTCTTATCATTTTATCACCTGACCTAGGCATAACTGTAATATGACTTTGATTATGTCTCACAGTGAGCCTATGCGACATAGGTCATTATCCCAGAATAGTCCACCTAGCCTTGTAATCATTTTAAGGTATATTAATTATGTTAACCTTTCTTCCCTCTGGCATTATATGCCTTGATGACTTCCTACAGCTCTCAGAACCAACTTCTCCATGGCTTGTAAGTTGTTACTGTCACAGTCTTTTCTTGCCGCTCCCTAGGCCCAGTAACTCTGACACGCAAGGTCCCAGGCCACGAGGTGTCTCACCAGTTCCCTCACCCTGGACTTTGCCCACAATGCCTGCTCTTCCTCAAACTCCTTTCACCCAGGCCTCTCCTCTCTGGACTTGTCTAATATCAGATATTTCTTCCTTTGCAGAGCCTTCTCCAACTTCTAAAAAGCCTGGGCCACGTGGCTCGGGTTCAAATATTGCCCCACCATGTACTATCTGTGAGGTTTTAGACACATTTCATAAACTGTGTCTTTACTTTTTCAGCCATGAAACGGGGAATAGTTTCCATATTATGTATATGCCCACTTTGTTTACAAGAGTTAGTACATGTGAAGCATTCAGAACTGTGCCTGACATATAGCAAATGCTCAGCCAATGGCGTCTACTTTTACATCATGCGTCCCCAGAACCTGATATTTACCCACATTGCAGCTGACTCCTGTTGACTTTTCTCTCCCTGAATCTATCAGTTCACTGTGACCAGAACACTGTTCTGTTCACCCTGTGTTTACCTCAGCACCCAGCATGTGACTCTCTCCACACTACATGTTCAATAATAAACACTTGTTGAATTGAACCTAAGTGACTTTCTATTTTCTGGTTACTTACTATTGTACTTTTGTGAATTATTACTAATAGAGAATCACCCACGGGGCAGTTTTTCTTAGCTCAGTGACAGACATTAGGCCCTGCACAACTACCTGTCAACAGACATTAGCATGACAAGATTGAGGACAAAGACCTGCTTCCACCTACAAACTCTCATAGGCCCCTCAACTCTCTGAGTCTGTTTCCTCCTGTGAGAGAGACAAGAAGACCCACTTCACAGAGCTGTGGTGAGGCCTTAGTGAGAGATTCTACACGTGGAAAAAGTATGTAAACAGTGACGCATGAAACACACACACACATTTATTAAATGTTGCAAATGTGATAGCATTCTACCAGTCTGGGAAATTTCATGTATCCCACACAAGTTCCAGAAAATAATTCTATCCTAAGTTATCATACCATTTTAAAGAAGAATATAACAAAAAAAAATTCATTTGCTGATGAGTCGAAAGCCTGGCTGGTTCATTCTGTCGACTGGAGCTGAGGTAGGAGAAAGAATGAGCGAAGCACATCACCTTCCCTGCCAAGTCCCCCCTTGGAAGAGCTGAAGTGTCCACTCACCTGTCACGCTGGTGATGGGCACAAAGGCTGCAGAGTTAAGGCTGCTCTGGAGTCCATTCAGCTGCCCTTCTGTGGAGGACCCTCTGAAACACAAGCAGTTTGGTTAGACCTGCAGACAGGGAGGCAAGGCCAAGAACAGTCCCTCCTAGGATTGCGCCTCTTACACTTGCCCAGATAAATCATAACTGACATTAAAACAGATTTCATATAGAGCAGTGGTCCTTAGCCAGGGGAGGGGGAGGGATAGATACTGTGTACCCGACCTCCTACTCCTTCTCGTTCATTTAACAATGTTGGCTAGGTGTGCCTGTCGCCACTGTGGGGCCTACTGTCACCCGGGGGGTAGCACCAGAACTGGTGCTAAACAACATCTTGGGCAGGACGCTGGGAAGTCCCCCAAAATAAAGAATTGCCTACTCTGAGGTGTGGATGGTGCCGAGGCTGTAGAACTGCTACACAGACAGCCCTCCCCTCATGTCAACGCTGACGAGACAGGACAGACTATATATAATAGGATTCTGAGGGCACAGGTTTCCAGGCCCCGTGTCTCAGAATTCTCTGACAACTGGACACCCTAGAGACCACCGTGGGTCTCCCTGTGTCTGGCTCTTACCACTGTGTTTCTCTCGCTGCTTTTATCAGAATTATGTTTATGAAACTGTGCACCTGGCTGCTTCATAGCTGTTCTCCTTGCTAGCAGGTAAGCTCCATAAAGACAGAAACTGTTCTTTCTTATTCTCTCCATGGAGCCGTAACTCCTAACGTTGGACTGTGCCTACATTAGGTGTTCAGTAAATATTCTGGGGGAAAAGAATCTGAATACTGTTCCCATAAATACATAAATTTGTTGGGCTCATGCATTTTGATTTTAGCTGGCTTATAAAAATTTTACCTGTGAGGTAAAGTTTTCATGTACTCAGTTCATTATTAGCTGAGCAACTGTCAATCCCGCCACCAGCAACCTTCTCCCAGTACTGTTTCCACTTATTCATTCACACAGAAAATCCTTAAGTATTCCCAGTGCTGGGGATGAGGGGGGAAGTAGACGTTAAGCAGAAACAAGAGATACCAGCTGGGCTGGACTAAGGAGTAGCCCAGGATGTTATAAGAGAATGGGGGAGCCTGATTTAGATGGTGAGGAGAGTGGTTGAGGACAGTCTCTCTGAGGAAATCATATTTCAGCTGAGTCACAAAGTTAGGAGAAGTAGGCTGCAGCCAGGAGAATAGGAAGAAACAGTAAATATGATGATGCTGAGGCAGAGAGGGGTTCAGAGTGTTCCCAGAACCTTTGAAAAACAGCCAGGTGGTAACCATGGTGGGTAATCAGTCAGAGTTTGTCCAGTGTACTGGACAGGAATCTCCTAGAATGGCTTTCCAGGCCTTTTCTCTGGAGATTTTAATTCACTGGGTCTGCACAGGGGCAGCTGAGAACTTAGGCTTGTTATGTTTCCCTAGATTCCTAGGCTGTTGGTATCACCAGAAAAGACCAGGAGACATCGGCTTGTGGGGAAAGTAGAAGGGAGTCACGGGGTCCTTGTCCGGTCTGGTGGAGGTTCAGTGCCCAGGGAGACTCCGAACGCCTGCTGGAGACAAGCTGCCTGGAAACAGGCCCTAGCAAGGGGCTAAAGGTCACACTGTCCTAGAGTCTTTCCCTCCCCTCCAACCCCAGGCAAGGCGCTTTTGGCCCCTATTCCCCCTCCCCACTTTCTGTGAGGGCAGAGGGCCCCACAGGCAAAGTCCAGAGTGAAAGGTGCACAGGGAGGGCTTGTCCCTTTGCTCACAAGCTGAGGCCATGGAGAGCTACGTCAGGAATGCTGGCACATTATGTTTCTGCTGCTTAATGCCCCCTCCTCCCTTGAAGCCCCAAAGTATCTATACACTGATATTTGCTCTTCCAGGCCTAAGTGAAAAACAGAAATGCTCTGGAGGCTCTAGGATGGGCTCTTTCCTTCACAGAAGTTAAGGACACTCAGGGAGGTTCACTTGTGTGAGGAGCCACTGTGAAGAGGAAGCCTCTGCTGTCAGCAGGAAAAAGGGAAGCAGGGAGGCAAAATGCTTGGGTCCGTAGAAGAAACAAAGGTAAGGCTGAGAGGAGTCTCTCGGGGGTTAGAGCCAGTGAATTCTGGGCCTCGCAAACTAACCTCCTTTGAGAAACTGCCACCCCTCATTCACTAATAGGCTTTCTCCCCCTCACTCACTCATGAAATCCTGACTCTGGACCCCTTTGTACACAGTTCACTCCATTCACACCTATCACAGGCCTCGGGAGCCAACACTGGTCCAGGAATTGAACTGTCTCTAGAATTAGCATTAAAACACAAGGCCCCCCTTTCCTCACTGGTGGAGAAATGTGTCCACAGTCCAACAAGGGGAAAATTGGAGTGAATTTTTCCATGGAAACTCTGGTACATAAAATGGTTTGGGCCTGTTATTACTACTGTAGGCACCATATGGGCAAATACACTTTTGTTGTGATATCATCATTTCCTTGGGAAAATATATTCCAACTCTGGACAAGCCACTCCTAAGTGGGAACTGTGGAAACACAGGTTGTTTATAGTCTGGGTGTTAATCGGCTGATCTACCCCAGTAATGAGTCTTTACCGCCTTTCCTGGGGGTATACAGGAGCCACTCATGTGTCCCCGTGGTTGTCGCTAGGCTCAGTTAATGTGCTTTCAATCAGACTATCAGGGCCTACCTCACAGGTTGCTGAGGGTGAAATAAGAGGCTGAGTGTGCAGCGCATCTTCACAGCATCTGGTACTAAGGGCTCCACCAACAAGAACTAGTGTTAATATTGCTACTGATACTTGGGAGCATGGACAATCTTTGCATTCACTGTAAGCCTGTCTATCAATCTAATCATAGAACGATGCACTGACTCTAAGCCAGTGGAGGGTATTAGCTGTAAGCGTAGAAGAGTGACCACCAGACCTCCAGAAATTGGAAGTTAACAGTAATTTGTTTAAATTAAAGTGAAAGGGGGTTAAATGGCAACCCACACGTCACTAATCTCATAGTCCAAGGGCTCTCACCTGAGAATGACAAACTGTTAATAAAACTGAAAGAACCTTTTTTTTTTTTCTGCCAGCATCAGAATGATTCGCTGTTTCGTCAACTCTGCACCAATACAGTAGGTCTCTGGGTCCAGGGTGAGGTTTTAAAACGGATGCACTTTTAGGCGCATGGATAACACACGGAACAGTGAGGTGCTCTGATAAAGGCCCATGGGAAGTGAGAGGGCCAGGAGGAACGACGTCCCTTCCACCTCATCCTGAGGGAACAGCAAGCGGAAGCTGCCACTTGCTTGCGGCTGCTCTTCCTCTCTGGAGAGCTCAGCGTGCAGAGCTGTGGGGGCAGCTCCAGTGCCTGCCGTTCTCCGAGCAGGGCATATATGAAACATGACGGGTTCAGGAGGACTCAGAAAAACTGGATTATGAAATTATCAAGAGTGTTGCATTGTCAAATACTGAGATGGGACAAGAGATGTCGTTAGCTTTATATTATCGTAAGTGTGAGCTCAAATCTAAGAAGTGGGCTGGGAGTGAATGTGCGGTGCTCAGAGTTCTTGAGTGTGGAGGAGATGGAAAAGCTGAGGACGGGGTCAGGGGCTGAGAGCCAGAGGCAGGTAGTCTCAGCCCTTCTCCAGCAAAAGCTGCTGGGGGCTGATGAACACGGCCACCCAAACTGAAATATGAAATGGGGCTGTGTATAGTAGCAACAGAGAACTAGAAGCCCCAGTTCCATTAATAGTGACACACTCAGCATGTTTCAGCAGAACTGTCTTTCCTTGTTCATAGAACCTAAAGCGTTTCCTTAAACAGTAAATGTACAATCCCTCGCCCAGAATCCTCTCAATCGCTCCACATTCTAGGTAGTCCTCTTGCTCTCCATTTTCCTGAAGTCCAAGCGCGAGCCTTGGCACGGCACCATTCCTAGTCTGAGTAGTGGGAACAGCCCTTCCAGGCCTTTTGAAGAAGCAGCTCAATAATGCACTACAAAACAATCTCTCTACAAGCTGAAATACCACCTGTGTTTACCATTTGGAAAGATTTCCACGAGCACAAGTCTCTACTTAGGGCATGTAAGCTGATCAAATGACTGGCTAGGACTTCCACTGGCTTCAAGACCACACCATTTAGCCAGCCTACCGAACACACTCCCACAGTCTAGGAGGGTTTCAGTGACCTGAACCCCCATCATCCACTTTGCTGATAAAGGCTTTCCAAGGTGCTTTTCCCTGCCCCTCAAGTGTTTTCTAGTGACTCTTTATTGCCTTTATTCCTCTGTTCCCCGCCCCCCAGCCACCTCCCCCTTAAGTCTCCCTTAAAGTCCCCTCACCAATTATATTGATCAGTGGAAACTTTTCTGAAAGTAATATCCTTTCTCAAAGACCTGTTTCATTTTTTAGTTCACAAGGTTGACTATGGATCTGGTGCTGTTTCTCTCTGGGTTCTTCTCAAGACTTTCCACATTTCTAATACAGATGAACTAGTTTTCTATTTCAATGCTAAGTAAAATTTTATCTTGGTTTTATGCCACCATAGACCCTTCTGTTGAAGGAAGGTCCACACAAGGAAAGTGCCCATGATGACAGGGAGAACAGAGCTGGAAATGCTTCTCTCATCAAGACCGTAGCAAACAGACAGGGGGACATTTGGGAAGGTTCAGAGAACAAACACCCCCAAACCTGATCATTTTAATAAAATACTGGTGACAATGAAGCTCTTTTAATTACCCAAAGACAGAAGTCCCAAGATGCAAGAGGCTAAAGAACTGGATTCTAAAATGCAAAGCAGTTGCTCTGACTTTCTTAGCAAACATTTACTCCCAGATGAAATATCTCTCCATACTCCTTAAAATACACCCACAAGCACATAGGTGGACAGGCGCCTCCCACCTATCTGGGAGTGCTTATGCATTTCCAAGCCCTAAGCTAATACGCTTATCCTTAGTCCACAATAATGAGAACATTACTAATTGTTTCAAACCAACTCAAAAGGCAGTTAGTGACACCATCTGCTGTGCATGCCTGGTGTGGCGGTCATCTCATAAACACATGCTTCACGTGAGCTGGTCCACT